ACAAGAGTTGCGTCTGATTGAGAGAACTTCTGAAAGGGAAGTAGAGCAGTAGGCTCTAAAAATAATTTCTGGTAAGAAGCGCAAGAAATAGCCTTGTTCAGAAGCCAGGAGAAGATTTGATGGTGCTCAAAAGTCAAAAACCTCAACTTCTAATAGGCAGAAGAATGCTCAGAAGGGAAATGAAAGGTATGACAAGAAGAAGATCCAGTGCTACTGTTGTAAGAAGTTTGGCCATTTTGCTGCTGATTGCTGGTCAAACAAGAAAAGGAAGTCAAAAGAAGCAAATATAGCCAGAAGTTCTGATGATGAGTCTGTGCTATTGATGGGTTCTGAATCTGATGATACGAATTTGAGACTGGTGGTATATGGACACTGGCTGCTCAAATCATCTTACTGGAAATAAGAAATGGCTGGTTGACTTTGACTCTGGAAAGGGGACAAAGATAAGACATGTTGATGATAAATACCTCAACATTGAAGGTATGGGAAATGTCACAGTTGTTCTAAACAATGGGAAAACAACGTTAATTCAGAAAGTGTGGTATGTACCTAGAATGAAAAGTAATATGATGAGTGTGAGGTAACTAATTGAGAAATTTTTTTCAGTTACCATGAAGGACAATCTTCTGAAGTTGTATGACTGTAATCAGAAGCTGATTATGGAGTCAGAACAGGGAAGGAATAAAACATTCAAGGTGAATGTAAGAACTGCAGACTCTGAATGTCTTAGTGCAACAAGTGTTATGAAGGAAAGTGAGATGTGGCACAGAAGATTTAGTCATATGAATTTCAGAAGCCTAGGGCATCTAAATCCGAAGAAGCTGGTACATGGAATTCCTACAATTAAGAAGCCTGAGAAGTCATACAAAGTGTGAATGGAAGGAAAGCAACCAAGATTTCCATTTGCGTCAGAAGTAGCTCCAAGAGAAAAGCATGCCTTGGGAGTAGTGAATTCTGATGTGTGCGGTCCATTTCCAATAGCATCGATTGGAGGGAATAAATACTTTGTGTTATTTTTTAATGAGTTCACAAGAATGACATGGGTATCCCTTATAAAGTTCAAACATGAGGTGTTTACTGAATTCAAGTTGTTCAGAATGAAGGCTGAGAATTAGAGTGGTCAGACTCTGAAGATTCTCAGAACTGATGGTTGGAGGTGAGTATAACTCCACTGAGTTCAGAAAGTTCTGTGAGGAAAATGGAATTGAATATAAGGTTACTACTTCTTATACTCTTCAACACAATGGCGTTGCTGAGAGAAGAAATCGTACTTTGCTTGATATGACGAGAAGCATGCTGAAGGAGAAGAAGCTTCCTCATACCTTATGATGAGAAGTTGTTGTCACTGCAGCATATGTGCTCAAGAGATGTTTAACGAAGAAGATGAAGGAAATAGTTCTTATTCAGAAGTGGATTGGAGATAAGCAAAGTGTTATCCATCTGAAGGTATTTGGTTATGTATGTTACAAACATGTTTCAGAAGCCAGAAGACAGAAGCTGGATGATAGAAACTAAGTAATGTTACTAGTGGGGTACCATAGTATAGGTGCGTACAAGCTCTATTGTCCAGAAACTAATAAAGTTAAATTCAATAGAGACGTCAGTGTAAAGGAATCAGAAACTTGGGATTGGAACAAGTCTCAATATAACTCTGATGTGAGAAATTATGAAGAAAGTTCAGAATTAGAAGTTTATGAAGATGAGTCAGAAACTGGAGAAGATTCTGAAGCTGGAGTAGACTCTGATGGTGATTCTGACTCTGAAGGAGACTCAGAAGGTGAAGATGATTTTGATCCAGATTCTGATGGTGATTCAAATTCTGGTGGTGATTCAGATTTTGGGAATATTCTAGACTTTGAAGGTGGTCAAGATTCTGGAGGAGGTCAAACTTCTGAAGCAAGAGCTTTTGAAGGAGAAGCTTCTAAAGATAGAACATGTGAAGTTCAAGCATCTGAAGGAGATTCTGAACAAGGTCAGAGGCCACAGAGAATCAGAAATATTTCGAGAAGATTTGTAGAGTTTGACATGCTACAAGACACTGAAGTAGATTCTAAAAGAGAAGTTACCCAGTGTACCATGTTAGTAGACTCTGAACCAGTAAGCACGGAAGAGGCTCTTGAGCAGAAAGTCTAGATGAAGGCCATGAAAGAAGAACTTGATGCTATAGAGAGGAACAAGACTTGGAAGCTGACAGAACTTCCAAAGCACAAGAAAGCCATCAGCGTCAGATGGGTTTTGAAGCAGAAGCTAATGCCATATGGATCAATTAGCAAACACAAAGCGAGGTTAGTAGCAAGAGGATTTCTGCAGAAACCTGGGCTGGATTATTCTGAAATGTTTGCACCTGTAGCGAGACATGAAACAATCAAACTGGTAATTGCAATAGCTGCTAACAGGAATTGGTCTCTGATGCATTTAGATGTGAAATCTGCACTTCTGAATGGTCCATTACAAGAAGAGGTATACGTGTCATAACCTCCTGGATTTGTTAAAAAGAATCAGAAAGGGATGGTGTACAGATTACATAAAGCTTTGTATGGATTGAAGCAAGCGCCCAGAGCCTGGAATCTGAAGATTGATTCATTTTTCAAGGAGCAGGGATTTCAGAAATGTAAGATGGAGTATGGTGTTTATGTTCAGCATACTTCTGAAGACAATATAATTCTGGTGTGTTTGTATGTTGATGGCATACTGTTGACAAGGAGTTCTGAACAAGAGATAGCTAAGTTCGGGAAGGTGCTGATGAATGATTTTGAAATGACTAATCTCGGGAAAATGACATATTTTCTAGGGATGAAGTTTATATACTCTGAGAAGGGGTATCATTTTGCATCAACTGAAGTATGAACTTGAGCTTCTGAAGAGATTTAAGCTGCAGAATTGTAAGGCTGTTATCACACATGCAGATATAAATCAAAAATTGGATTCTGATTATGATGGTGAGGATGTGGATGCTACAACCTTCAAGTAATTGGTTGGTTCTCTGAGGTATCTGTATAATACCAGACCCGATATCTGCTATGCAGTTGGAGTGGTTAATAGGTTCATGAGTAAACCTAAGTGGTCCCATTACTAAGCTGCTGTTACAATTCTGAGGTATATCAAGGGAACTCTGAAGTATGGAGTGTTATTCCCTTCTAGAAGAAAGATTTAATCAAAACTTTTGAGTTATTCAAATTCTGATTGGTGTGGAGACAGAGTTGGCAGAAAAAGTACTTCTGGGTACTTGTTTAAGTTTTTGGGAGGTCTTATTTCTTGGTGTTACAAGAAACAACTTGTTGTTGTGTTGTCAACTTGTGAAGCTGGATATATCGTAGGCGCTGTGACTGCATGTCAAGTTGTGTGGATTCTGAACTTACTGCAGGATCTAAAGATCAAAGTTAACAAGCCTCTGAAGCTGATGATTGATAACAAGTCTGCAATCAATCTTGCAAGAAATTCAGTGCTGCATGGGAGAAGCAAGCATATTGAGACTAAGTATCACTTTTTGAGAAATCAGTTGTGCACTGTAGCACCCAGAAACAGTTGGCAGATGTTCTGACAAAGGCTATCAAGACCGATCAATTTATTCGCTTAAGTGATGAAATTGGTGTTGTCGTTTTTGGGTATATATAAATTAAGGGATGGTGTTAGAAATAATTTATATTTTACAAAACTTAGTGACTAAGTTTCGTTAGAGGGTAATTTAATACTTTAATATGTTGTCTATGTGACCCTAATTTTTCTGTGTATAAATATACTAATGGTATATGTCATTGTCATTTATTATCTTCTTCCTTACAACTTTTATAGCCGTCATTACACAGTATAAATATAATTCTCACGTTTTGTTCATCCTTTTTCACCTTGTGCACCAACAATATATATATATATATATATATATATATATATATATATATATATATATATATATATATATATATATATATATATATATATATATATATATATATATATATATATATATATATATATATATATATATAACACTAATTCTAGTTTGTACATTAAAAGCTAATAAAAATATTTTGAAAATTTTGAAATATGGCACTAGAGCTACAACGAATTTCGACATTAATTCAGATAGTCTCGTGACAAAGACAAACAACAAATTATATATTAAATGACATTTTCAATTTTTGTGTTTTCTTATTTAATCATGTAAACATTTAGTTGTTGTGTACATAAAATAAGTTTAAATGGTCAGTGGGAAAGAAGCACTAATATTTATCTATAGCATACATGAACAATCCAAAAGTCAGCTATGCCTATATATAGTTTTATTCAATTAAAAAAATATGAAACCAAACAAAATAAAAATAATTATAACAAAACAACAATGTTAGAGTTGTAGGGTCTATAGAAATTTTTAGAGTGATGAGAAGAGATGGATGCAGTCTTTGTGTAATGGATCTCGTGGTATGACTGAACTTTGTCAACGTTTTGTTATGTTACAAATATTGGAATGACTTTTAAAATCAATGGAATTGAATCAGTCTTTGGTTTCAGAAAGCTGAAAGTGGTTTTCATCAAAACTTGCAACTTTTTTTTCTTTATATACACATCAAAATTAACATAACATTTACATTCATTAATCAACCTTCTTTCTCAATTTCTCTCTTTCTTCATATCATTCTCAACCAAGGTATTGGGAATAACACAATTCACATATACTATATAAATATGCTATAGTTTTTTCATTATGTTATATGCATGCATGTCTATTGTAAATAAACTTGCTTTTCTGATATTATTTCTGATATTATAATATCAGAAAACCGAGTTCATATTTTTAAGAATATTTGTAAAATAATATTTATTTTTATATAAAAAATTAAACTTTTATATGTTTAATCTTCAATATATTTTAAATAAGACTTCTCTAGTAAGAATATGTGTCAGAATTTCACGCATCTATTTTCTTTTATTGTTTTTATTAGTAGTTCTCATGAAAAAAAATTTACTTTCAGAAGTTACTTTAATTACCATATCGGACGCCAATGTCTCCTGCGATGGCGATGAATGATGAAAGGAGTGAAGATGATCATAGAATAGAAAGTGAATATCATAAAGGAGTGAAGAACTTATTTGAAACAGGTTATCTTCACAAAGTTCCAAAGAAGTATATATTTCCAGCCTCAGAAAGACCCACCACTAGTATGAATGATTCCAATTTTCCCAAGGAAAATCTTCAGCTACCCATCATTGATTTTGCAGACCTTATTGGTCCAAATAGGCCTCAAGTTCTTCAATCCTTAGCCAATGCTTGTGAACAATATGGATTTTTCCAGGTAAGAAATTGGTAGCCAATTGTGTTCGATCAAAACCTCGTAAAGTTACATAGTCAATTACATTGATGACCGTTATATTAAAATCAGACAATTTAAATATCAAGTATCATATATGAATTGTCTGATTTTGATCAAACAACTACTATCAATGAATTGACCGAGATACAACGTGAGATTCAGATTAATATATTATAATAATCATATCATTTTTATAATTCTCTCATAATAATTCACTATTTTTTAATGAAATTGTCCAACATTAAATAAATAGATAATATACGAATCTTCATCTTCATGCATGTTGAGCTATAGTTTTTTTTTAATCTGATCTAAAATGAAAGATATTATTATATTTGATTGATGCAGCTAGTGAATCATTCCATATCAGATGATGTAACAAGGTGCATGATAGATGTGATAGGAAGGTTCTTTGATCTTCCATTGGAGGAGAGATCTAAGTATATGACAACTGATATGAGAGCACCTGTGAGATATGGAACCAGTTTTAGTCAAACAAAAGACTCTGTGTTCTGTTGGAGAGATTTCTTAAAACTCATTTGTAATCCTTTGCCCGATTTTCTTCCTCATTGGCCTTCCTCTCCGTTGGATTTTCAGTAAGTGTTCTGAACAAAACTTATCTGATTTTTATATAAATCAAATACATTAATTATTCAAAATATTAGTAAATAAAATATTTTTTTATAATTGGGACCGAATGGAATATTATTTGATTGATTTAAAAATAATTTTTGTTGATGTGAGTGCATTTTTTAATGTATTATTATTATTTTAAACAGAGAAGTGGTTGCCACCTATGCAAAAGAAACCAAACATTTGTTCATGGCAATAATGGAAGCTATCCTAGAAAGTTTAGGAATTGTGGAAGCCAACCAAGAAGAGATGACAAAAGAAAAGGACAATAATGATAATAATAATATTATGAATGAATTGGACAATGGTAGCCAAATGCTGGTCACCAATTTCTATCCACCATGTCCTGAACCAGACCTAACCTTAGGAATGCACCCTCATTCTGATTATGGATTTCTCACATTACTTCTTCAAGATGAAGTGGAGGGTTTGCAAATTCAATTTCAAGACAAATGGCTCACTGTTCAACCTATTCCCAACGCTTTCGTCGTTAACATTGGTGATCATTTAGAGGTAATATAATATGTTCATTCATAATGTTTTTTTTATAAACCAGATATCTTCTGCGTGCAACTCCAAATAATATTTTCTCGAAACAGCGAGATAGTTATGATTTTTCTTGTGCTGATATATTTTTTGGTGTGATTTATTTTTCAGATATTTAGCAACGGAAAATACAAGAGTGTATTACATAGGGTTTTGGTGAATGAAGCTAAGAGTAGAATATCCATTGCTTCACTACATAGTCTTCCCTTTAACTGCACTGTGAAACCGTCGCAAAAACTCATCGACGAAAAGAATCCAAAGCGTTACATGGACACAGATTTTGGTAGCTTTCTTGCATATGTGTCCACCAGAGAAACCAAGAAAAAGGATTTCCTAGAGTCAAGAAAATTGACAAATTCATAATCATTGAGCAAATAATTAGTAAAGGAATACGAACTATAGGTAATTAGACAAAAAGATACAATCTGTCACCAACCACAATGTATTATATAAATTGAGTCATGCTATTTATTACTAAGTTTTTTTGAAACAATGGATTAAAGAATTAAGAAATATTGTTAATATTTTTTTTTTTTGGTTGGAAATCACAAGAGTAGTGGTAGTTAAGAGTAGTGGAGGTTTGCTCTTTGCAATTTTTAGTTTTACAGTTCGTAAAACTAAGCATTTCTATTATATTGATATTGTATTCATGATCCTTTCTTCCTTGGTGAACTTAACAGTCTAGACTTGGTTCTATCGTTTGGGTGTCAATTAATTGAATCAGCATTGTACAAATTTCTTGGGAGGTTTTTAAGAGTCTTTTTATTCTTATCTGGGAGAATTTATTTTTTTCTGCAGAATAAGATAAAACTCATGAGAGTCTTTGTTTTTAACTAGGAGATGTTTGAAGAAATGTCTTAGTATCTTGGTCAGTTGTTTTTACTTCTAAATGAAAGGAGTATTATTGAGGCTCATTGAAAGGCATTGTAACTATGATTCAAGTTACTTTCTTTGGATGTGGTTCTTGGATGATGGAGCGTGTGCCTAAGAAAAGGTGTGTTAAACATGTGTCTTGATACATGTGTCTTCTTTGGACGATTTATCCAAAAGTTGAAACAATCAAAAGTTCCTTGGCAAGGGCACATTTTTTAGTGTAGTTACTTTCCTCATTTAATGTTCTCATTGAATTGACCTTCGGTATTTTCAATGGTTCGTTACTTCCTAAGGAAACAACTCGGGTATTTAAAAGGGATTCTTGACTTCAATTTATCTCAAGTTATTTTTCTGTTGTGCCTTGTTCTCATGGGATTTGTCCGCCTTTGGGTATGTTCAGTCTGGGTATGTTTAGTCTGGGTATGTCTCTGTATTGGACATTTTTGTCAATTTTTGGCTAAAATTGCGGAGAAAAGTACAGGGGTTGAGTGTGTTCTTGCAGGTGGTTTGCAAGGATGTTGGATAGGATGTTCTGACATTCTATCTGAGTCTCAGGTCTTTTTTCTGTTCTGAGTCCTTTCTTCGTGTCTTGTGATCTGAGTTGTGAACACAGTCGTCTCTTGTGTTCTGAGTTACCCAAAAGGAGTTTTAGCCAAAATTTGTCAAAATGGGGAGATTGAAAGCTCCTGAGATTTTACTAAAATTTTGGTAAAACTTGATGAAGGACAAGATTATCAAACATGAAGAATTCTGCACAGAACAAAGATGTCGAATGCAATATCCTAGCATGAAGACTCGACATCCTGGACTGACTTAGCAGGTTATTTTAATTCTATTGCAAGATTCGAGGAGCGGTCACAGCAGTGGATCAAAGAATCAACTGACAGAAGATTCGAAGCCCATGGACTGCTGGAGGTTATAAAAAGAAGACTTAGACCTAGGGCTGAGCAGGATTCTTATTAAAACTTTTGTAAAGTAGAAAATAAGGATTTTGAGAGTCGTAGGCTTTCTTGTGTTGTAATTCTCCCTTTGTATCGGTTTGATACATTTGGTAGACATAGATGTTTATGCAGATTCAGAAACCTGTAGGTAATGAATCATGTATTGTTCTTGGATGAAGCTTTGAAGCAAATCCAATAGATTGTTAGTCAAGGTTGCTTAGCTGAACTTTTTATTGAAAAGAGGTGTCTTTCAAGTAAGATGATACAATTATTGTGACTATAACTGTTAGATATCACAGATTGTGATTAAGTGAGTGAGATGAGTTTCTCTTATCAATTAGATGTGACTTCTAATGATAAAATTTTCATTGGATAGTGATAGGTAAATCGGATGTTATTTACTGTAAACCAGAGGTTATTTACATAAAACAATACTACTGATAGTGGATTCTTCTTCTTGGCTTGGTAGCCCTCAGATGTAAGTGATTTGCACCGAACTGGGTTAACATATCTTGTGTTATTTATCATTCTGCAAATTTACAGTTTAGTATTTGCCTTTTTTATTAACATGTTGTAATAGATGTTGAAACATCTGTTATGATTCTGTTGCTGATATTTAGAGTATCAGCTTGCTCATTCTGCCCTTGTTTTAAAGTTATGCAGAGAACAATATCGTGACATGTTATTAGGACATTTGCAATCAGTTTTCCAGAATTTCAATAGTTAAATTATACAAGTATATCCATTGATCATATATAATAGGTTTTCCTGTTGTAATAGTATTGTGAGTCCAAAGGAGATGAATTCACTGCATTCACGCATTCGAATTTTTAATAAGCGTTCGATCAAGATCTAATAGTTCTGTATAATACATATTTTAATTTAAAATATCAAACTTATATCTAAATTGTCCGATCTTGATTGAACAATAATTAGTAACGTGTGTTCCCCTGACTGTAGGGAAACTCAATCCGTATCGAAATGATCTCATTTTATAAATAGTGTGATAAACAGTTATAGTCTCTGTTGTTTTCGGATTTGAGAAAATAGAGTTTGGCACAAGGAAATTATCGGGACGAGTCGCGTACTAGGTCGCTTTCTTTAAGACGTTTCGCCGTACTGCCAAATTATGCAAAGCAGTCGAATTTACGACGACGCCTCCAGGATAAAACAGCCCATTCAAACAACTTACGATTATCAGTTGCACACTGATAAATCGCTCTAGAAATACACCTTTCTAAATTAGTATCTGGTTAAAATAACCAGTCAAGAAAAGAGAAAAATTATAGATGAAGAGAATTAAGGAAGAGAAGAGGGAAATCAAAATTCATGAATTTGTGAAATCCGGAGTGCTTACTACTGAATTTCTACCCTTTATTTATAGGCAGCTAGTAAGGCTTAATTTTCATTCCCGTCAATGTGGGACTAAAATGAATCTTAATTTCCATTCCCTTCAATGTTGGACTAAAATGAATCTTAATTTTCATTCCTTCAATGTGGGACTAAAATGAATCTTAATTTCCATTCCCTTCAATGTTGGACTAAAAATGAATCTTAATTTTCATTCCTTCAATGTGGGACTAAAATGAATCTTTTCAAATTCACTTATATATTACTTCTTACTTGTGTTGATTTATTACCCATTAATTGTCAATAAATCTTTCCAATTCCCACTCTAATTAATATAGTTCCAACAATCCCCCACTTGAATTTAAAAAGAGATTTTAGAAGTACGTCAGACGTTTCTAAGATTGTGCATAAGCAAAGGTGTCTACGACTTGAACCTTAGCGTAGCGAGTAGGATTCTGATTCAACAAGAGTGACACCATTTTCTTGAACTCTATCTCGGACATCAGACCCGCACACAACCTTTCTGTAAGGTGTATTCTTGTAGCCCGTGCTTTAGTGGCCCTGCACGTGTATCCTGGTTTAGTGAATTCTCTAGGAATTTTGCCTCGAAATTCCATAGGAACCGGCCTAGTTCCACAGTCACATAGGTGAATCTATCAAGAGTACTCCTGTAGCCTAGGTACTCCCTCATACAGAGTATAGATCTCATTAAGAGTTTCTATTATATCATCCTCTCATTACTTCAGGATTCATGCTTTACTTGCATGATCATTTTCATATTACTCATAACTTGTTATTACCCATTGAACCTAAATCTTGGGATCTCCAGTCATTTAGGTCGGGTTACCATCATGAGTAACAAATTACTTTATAGGCATTAGTCCCATCTTTTTGGAAGTATTATGGACTTTCTCTCTAGCTAATCCTTTCGTCAAAGGATTTGCTAAGTTCTCATCAGTGCGTACATGATCCACTCTCACAGCTCCTTTAGAGATACAGTCTCTAACAGTGCTATGTTTTCTTCTAATTTGACGTCTTTTACCATTATAATAACGGTTCTCAACTTTTGCAATAGCTGCGGTACTATCGCAGTGGATCAACACAGCTGGTATAGGTTTTTCCCATAAAGGAATCTCAGCTAGCAAGCATCTTAACCAACTTGCTTCTTCACTAGCTGTAGCAATGCTATCATCTCAGACTACATTGTGGACTATGCCAGAATGGTCTGTTTCTTTGATTTCCAAGATACAACTCCTCCGGCTATACTAAATATATAACCACTAGTAGCTTTGGAATCATCTGATAAGGTGTTCCAATCTGCATCACTATACCCTTCTAGTACAGCAGGAAATTTCTGATAGTGTAGGCCGAGGTCCATAGTCCTTTTAAGGTACCTCATTACTCGCTCAATAGCTTGCCAATGTTCATTACTCGGCCTACTTGTAAATCTGCACAACAGTCCTACGACATATGCAATGTCGGGTCTAGTACAATCAGTGGCATACCTAAGACTGCCAATGATGCTCGCATATTCTGCTTGTTTGACACTCTCTCCAGTGTTCTTAAATAGTTTCACACTTGGATCATACGGAGTGCATGCAGGTTTACAATCAAAGTATTTATATTTCTTTAAGATCTTCTCCACGTAGTGAGATTGATCCAAAGAAATTCCTTGTTCGAATCTCGTGATCTTGATACCCAGGATCACACTTGCTTCTCCGAGGTCTTTCATATCAAAGTTATTGCATAACAATGATTTCATATCATTAATGGCCTGAATGTTTGATCCAAATATAAGTAGATCGTCTACATATAGACATATGATAGTACAAATGCGATTCTCAGATTTGTAATAGACACACTTGTCACTTTCATTCACTTTGTACCCATTAATTATCATTAAGTTATCAAACTTTTCATGCCATTGTTTAGGGGCTTGTTTTAGTCCATACAGAGACTTATCTAACTTACAGACCTTGCTTTCTTGTCCTTGGATTACAAACCCTTCTGGTTGTTCCATATAGATTTCTTCTTCTAAGTCACCGTTTAAAAACGATGTTTTAACATCCATTTGGTGTACTATTAAGTTATAAATGGCTGTTATTGAAATGAGTACCCTAATGGATGTAATTCTGGTGACCGGAGAAAAGGTGTCGAAGAAATCTATGTTTTCTCTTTGTCTAAAACCCTTGGCTACAA